CACTGTTAAAGTAAACGAACATATATTAAGAAACTAAAGAGGTTGGGGTCCAAACTTTAATACCCATTGACGTAAAATGCCGGTAACAATCAATGTTGTTTAAACATTTTTAGCATCTGTTCAGTTTACACATCTTAAAATAAAGTTGTTAATCTATGCTCTATTAATAATATTTATTTCTCGTAATATCTTTAACAAATTTCATTCGAAAAAACTTTAAGTAACATAAAACAGAAAATATTCTTTACCACCATTGTTCAGCTTATGTAGACCCAGTCCGAACAATAATGAAATCAATCAAACTATCTTTGTAGGAGGAGAATAGAAGTCGATAAAATATTAACATTGTTTAAAAGTAGACTAAATAACAATAAACTAGCTAATGGGGTTTTAACTCTGTCTTTCTTTCACAGCGAAAGAAATTGTTTACTCTCTCTAACTTTTTTCCTAATCAAATAGCTTAAAGACAGACCTATTTAATAAGTACCTACTACACAATCTTATATTAACACTGAATTATATTTTGATGTTTATATAACACTACAACATCTGCCATTACAATAATTTAAATAAACTTAAATCACAAATACGTTACCAGTATAAATAGGTGGTAGGTTTTAGTTCGTAGGTTTTCCACCAATTAATTATATTTATCCCAGCTATTGTGGTAAAGGATATATTTTCCATCAACAACTCTGTGCATTCGAAACAAACTTTACACTCCACAAACTGGATTGCGGCTTTCGAAATACCTACTCAATGGCCTATCTTTACCACTACGCCACAATAAGATTATTTCGTCCAATTTCGTTGTGTACACAGTTGTATCGAATATGGGTTACAATGTCGCTAGGAAAATATTTGATTTGATTTTGTAGTGTAAAGGTGATAGTGAAATTAGGAAACGCAGTCGACAAATCATTATTACAATGTTACCAAACCCCGACTGGGATTTTTGAGTGACAAAAGTAGTCCTATGTGTGGGATTTTTTAAATTATTCTGCAAAGGTTTTCTTTTTTCTATAGTGACAAGATATATAAACATGGTTTAATTTAGTGGCGGTGATCTAACAGCGACAATTACAAAAAAATCTATATAATAATAATATTATTATATAAAGGCGGCATATGTACAAACATTGCTTGCCTGATACGATGCCTGATAAAAACATACTCTTTAAAAAAGGTTTTTAATTAAGTACGAGTACATCTACATTCTGACAAATTAATAATTTTATTTGAGGTCTATTATTTGGAGATTGTAAAAATGTTGGCTTTACTCTTTTATGGCCAGCCTCCTGTCTGACGCCAACGCTCACCCTGAGGAGGAGAGGAGGTAATCGTTTTAAGACGGAACAAGAAACAAGATAATGAAATGGGATAAGGTAAGGAAGTTAGAGGAAGGGATACCCATACCGCAAGTGTTGGATGAGGAAACGAGACTAAGACCGAAGTTGTCACTTATCCGTATCCGTTACTCGGCGAAGCGGGCCTTTAACCTTCGTTACAAGTCGGAAATTAAAGCGATCAACATGTATTTTTACTTTTATAATACTAGCTGTACCCCACGCTTCACTGTGGCACATTATGGTTGCATTGATGAGAATTAAGGAACAAAACTAACGTGCAAATAGATAAATAAAACAATCTTTGAAGCGGTTTGTATATCGTATCAAAATTTAAGTTCAACCGGTGCAGAACTTTTTGACTTTTCAAAGATACAAAAACCAACTTGACAGCAAAGATGTTCAGTTATTTTTATCATGTTTACAACGCGGGTAAACCGCATGAAAGTAATTTTTCCCAAAAAAAAGGGGTACAGAGTAGAACATAGTGAATCTTCTTCTTTGTACCCCTTTTTTTCTGTGCGGATATCTCCTCGGATACTACCCACCAGTGGGATGGTTATATCGGAAAAAACCGTACGCGGTCTCGGGTACCAGTAGCTGGGGAACCAGGTGTACCCTGGGACCCCGACGTCTTCTCTATACCCCAATAACAGCTATGTCCAATTTCGTGACGATTAGTTCTGTAAGCAAGACTAGAAAGTGTAAAAATTAAAAAAAACAGAGTGACAGACTGGTTCCAAAAAGAGTCTCCAAATCTAAAATATTTTTTAGATTTTATCCAAGACTCAAGATTGTTTCACCGCTGGTGGATAAACGCTCATATTACTAGTAATTTTCCATAGGGTCAACAAAAAAAAGTTGAAAAAAGCCTATCAAGACAAGACGCTTGAGTCTACGACAACTTATATCTTTATGTTTATAAACAAAATATATGTTTATAAACAAAATCAATTGTTTTCAATTAAATTTAATGTAATTTAATTATGATTAAATTTTCCTGTGCTTCATTTTAATTTCCACACACACAACATGCAGCAAGACAGCTAAATTGCAATAAAGTTCACTATCTAAGCAAACTTAAAAAATGAGGAAGTTTTTCCTTTCTTTGAAAGAGCCACAAATCATACTTTACATTGTTTTGTAAGATTATTTGAAACAAGTTTTTTTATGATTCAAAGAAATGATTTACTGATATATGTTTTCTGTTTATTTTTTTCATTCGCTTACATTAGCATAACATAACTAGACTTTAAACAAAATATGTAATAATAATAGATTTAGTATACAATCTTATTTAAAACAGAAAAAAAAAAGAAATTTAATATTGATTAAGAAGTGCCATTTAGTGCAAGTAAGTGTCCGTGTGGTGACGGATTAAGAATAAAGAGTGTCACCACCCCTATTCATCCCATGGGTGTCGAAAGAGGCGACTAAGGGAGCGAACTACGTAGGACAACAGCACTGCAGTGAGAAGGAAAGTTTGACATAAACCCTATACTAACCCGTCTGGCCAGCGTGGTATAGTGGGCCAAAACTTCCTTTATAAGGAGAGGCCTATGTCCAGCAGTGGACTGTTAAAGGCTGTTTATGTGATGGTATGTGCAAATTATTTCACTTTACTGTAAAAAGTTGCAATTTTTAAAGAATTTTAAACTATAAAGCAATAATTCATAAAAGCGGGTTGATATAAACTCTATGGCGGCCCCACTGCGGAGCTTTAATGGCTTTCCTATACATTTAACGGCGCAATAATCTCCAAATTAAACTTTTTCTAGTATGAATAAAACTTTATATTCACTCATAAGTTTTACGAGGACCTATTTTCTATGATATTTTTAATCTGAACCTTAATAAATAAGTTGAAAGTTTACTGTTAGTCATAAAAGTTTTTTTTTAATAAGGTGGTAAACTGGCCATAGACACTTGCAACTCAAACCCCTCCCCCTAGAGTCAGGGAGAGGTTTCAAAATGAATATTTTAAAATTATTGTTTGTTAGGAATGATTATTTCGCCATGTACAAGAGTAGGTTTTAATCGATAATACTTTACCGTTTACCACAGTTAGGTGATGACCCTATGGGTTTCCACACGAAATGTAAAACATACAAAAGGAATAAAAACGGTATTGTTGCACTTGTATTTTACGTGAAATAAAAAACGTAACGTGACGTTAAGACGTCTAATATTCTTGTCTGTACACGTATTTAAAACAGCATTTTATTAATCAAATAAACAACTATCATTCTTAGTTCTCAGTCTATTAATTTTTTAATTCGAATTCTAATGTTATTCGACTGGCCTGTTGGCCTAGTGGTTAGTGACCCTGACTGCTACACCAGTGGTCGTCGGTTCGATTCCCACCCAGGACAAATTAATGTGTGATGAGCACGATCATTTATTGTGTCTGGGTGTACTTTATCTATAATATGTATGTATTTAGTAATATTCTCAGTAGTCTGGTTACCATAGTACAGGCTCTGCCTAGTTTGGGATCAGACGGCCGTGTGTGAAATGTGTGAAAATACTATTATTATTATTATTTTAAGCAAATAAAAGTCAACGTCATTGAACTTTACATGAATCATCATGATGCGTTAGATTTCTTTCACCTGACCCATGATTCTGTCTCTACACACACTGCACACTTAAGGTTATCTTTATATTATATACTAGCTATAGATATATAGACATACGAGTTCAGTATTAATTGCAATAAGGCCATATAAATTACCCACCTTATCCAATACCTAGCAATTACAACAGAGAGAATACTACAATAACGTTAACTTAGCACTCAGTAATATGTATTGATGCACTAAATCTGCTTCAACTCTTTCGACTCCAGCATCTTCAACATTAAATGTATAACTTTCCGATAAACAAAAGTGGATTTTCAGGGAACGGCCTTAATGATCTAACTTTACATGTGACAGACAGAATTAAGCGTTACCAACAAACAATTCAAAAATACCTTTCCTAAATCAATGCTGCCACATTCTATTAAATTCTGACTGACTGCCTCGGTGGCGCAGTTTATGTGGCTCCTGTGCTGAGGTCTCGGGTTCGATTCCCGGGTCAGACCAAATCTTTATATGATCTGCAAATATTTGTTTCGGTGTTTTTTGAGTTTCAATCTAGCTTTCATAGTACATGCTCTGGACAGTTTGAAACTAGATGGCGTTGTGTGTCAGATGTTCGAAATATTAATATTATTCTAAATTCCTAGCATCGCTTAAACTTTCCACAATATTTAATAGAAAAATGGAGGGTAGCGGTCTGTGTTACACATAGATTATTATTCTAGGTTTGAACATTTACTGTTTAGTAATCAAGGAATGGCATGTGTAATAATTTTCCGATATTATTTACCCTGGCCTTGGACCGTAGAACTGAAATATTTGAATCAGACTAGCGTCAAATATTTCAGTCCTCTGGGCCATTACATTATTTAATATCAGGAAAGTTCCGTTCGTTCGAGAATCAAACATTTTAATATCACTATTTGCTACAGTTTCAATCTCGGAAACATTACTGATGGGTTTTATTATTTTGAATAATAAAATTAATTTTCTTTGTTTCAGAAAATCATTATCAATATACGAACTAAAAGTGCACATCCAAGGTGTTTAACCAATGACTTGAACTGCTAAAATGACCTGTCCATTCCGCCGCGCGTCCTCACAACATCAATTCGCCAATGGCAGCGGTTCCAGTGGCAAAAAGTCTGAATTCCGCTCTAGGCAGTCCTCAGTACATCTCCCGGGACCTGAAGAGGATGATGGGGACCGGAATACGTTGACATTGAAGAATTTAAGTGAAGCCCTACAACTGCTTACCGCACCTTCAGTAAGTTCTGAGTTATAATTTATTTATAGCAAAATTCATTTTTATAAGCCTCTACGTGAATATTTAATGTACATATAACGTTCGATTTTAAACCTAATACTATGTACGTACGATCTGATATTGACAAAAATGTTAAATTCTCCTGAGGTGTTTGTTCATAAAATATAGTTAGGAGGATTCTTTATGCATCAACGCTGGTCTCTGAAGTAGATATTGAGGTTATTACTTTATGATAAGAGTTTATGGCAATATTTTCTACAAATGTGTTTGTTTAGTTACGTACTCTATTGTAAATCTAAGCGCTTTTTACCCTCTCTACTTATAACTCCTGCTATATACTTATAGAATTGAAACAAGAATTTATAGAACTATCAAACAGGTTTCCTTAAAACATTTTACAAAGAACATAATAGTTGCTTTTAGTTTTAGGGCTCATACTAATCAGTAAAAGTCTCAAGTCTCAGGTGGTCTGGCTAACATTAGTAGTTTTAGCAAGCGTTCTTAAGGGGTCTGTACTGGATCAAACAGCAGTAATTCCTAAAGCCTTAATAGCATTCGCCTAGGTATTATTTGAGCACTATATTCATTTTACGACAATAAAACTACTATGCTTATTTTTTTAATGCCTGTATTTTAGTTATTAGCAAAGTTTAAGACTGCGAGCCTATTTATTATAGATATTTATTTAAGATATCTTGATTTTAGTGGAAAAAGTGATATTTTTCTTCAATCTGAACCATATTACTGTTACTATTAAATATACTTATTGTTATTAATTTAACATAAACGTACTTGATCTTATACCACGTAGGTACAGTGCATTTAAAATTACTCGTAAACAAAGATGAACATAAGAAATAAAGCTTTTCTTTTTTTGTCAAAAAAGATTTAAATTGATTAATGCTTTATATTAATCAAAGTAAGATGTCGATTTTCAATTATACTGAGTTCCAAGACTAAACCAAAAAAGTAATTTATATCACGAACTTATTCAACTTTATGCTAATGCTTCATCACCTATTATCTACTGTATCTAATCTACTACATACAATATGACTATCGTAAAGCCGAATAAGCGGCCGTTACTCAAAAACTCATACGCTAAATGGCAGCTTTAATGTTATCATTGTATTTCAAGTGCTCTTAAAATTCAATAAGCGTTTCTACGATATGGAACAGAATACACACACATACACAGATACACCGATAATACTGTGTGTGCATACACGCATACTGTTTTAGACAGATATACAAGTCGGAACATATATCTTTCTGATGATGTAAGCAATTCAGAAATAGAAATGGATGTAATATTTTGGTATTACGCGAGGATTTTAATATCGTTTTAGAATATCATTGTAGAACTGGATCAGAAATCAGAAAAGTTTCAAACAGTGAAACATTACAACTTTATTCAACGGAAAATAGTATAAATGTAGGTGCAGTTAATAATCCACTGTCAGAATTTTGACATTCACAATCAGTTTTAAATAAAAATATTTCAACGTAAGGGAAAAAAGTCACTACTAAGATTATAACAGAATACTAGCTGTCCCGACAGACGTTGTCTTGTATACAAGTCTTAAAATAAAACCGACCGAACGGACCGAATTGTGAGTCAAAACCATACTCGAATCCACTACACAAAAAATTCATAAAAATCGGTCCAGCCAAACTAGGAGGAGTTCAGTCACATATACACGCACAGAATAAATTATATGCATAAAGACTAGAAAAACAATCCCAAGAATCTGTCGTCATCCGGTGCAGTCTAAAAAGTAGTATAATTGTTGCCACGTTTTTCTCTGTTCTGCCTATACATACTCCCACATTAACAATCGATAAAGACCCTGGCTAGTTAAAACGATACGAGAGATTCATGCCTCGGTAAACCAGTAAATGACAGTCTCGACTCTCGAAAACCGGTGTTACGTAATTCTGACGTTTCCTTCACCGAGTGAGTGCAGATATCGGTGGCTTAATTACTTCATCATAATCTCAATGTGATTTTAAAAGGCGGTAGTGTCCTTGTGTCTCTCAAACTGCGGATGTTCACAGGCGGCGGTAGTTACTTACCATCAGGTTACACGTGTGATCGTTTGTCCCTTTACCATTGAACAAAGAAAATCTTCTTCTTCATCAGTCTATCGCAGTCCACTGCTCATAGACCTGACATAGACCTCGACGATTGCACGCCACTTGATAAATTTAAGAAAAAAACAAATTAATAAAAAAATAATCAGAAAATCTTACGATACAATAATAATTAAAATTGTTAACATTATATGGGATTACACAATAGTACTTCTATTTAATATGGGGACTTTAAGCAGTCCAATAAACTGCTGATTAAATGAGCAGTTATCAGAATATGATGTTCTAGACATATGTGGTAACATCAATTTGAAAGCGGCGGTAGCCAAGTGGTTAAGGCATTGGACTTGCGATCAAGAGGTCGTGGGTTCGAATCCTGAGCAGTAAACCACCGACCAAATTTAGCTTAGCGGGAGAGGTTAACGGGAATACTAGTCATTTCGGTTGCTAGTAAACCTTAAAAAAAACAATGTTGTATGAGTAAGATGGAGTACAATATAGTATAGCATATTTACACTACCGTTTCATTGGCACGATCAACATTGGTATTTTTTGGTAATAGTGAGAAATGATTCAACTTAAAGATACTCGTAATTGAAATTGTTAAATGAATAAATTTAAATATACACTGTATGTGTATGTGTCCAATACTAATTACTTGTATGTGGTAATTAGTATTGGACACATACAATCCAGGTCTTTACATTTCTAAAAATAAATATGTGCCGACAAGAAATGCTTTTATTTGCTTTAGAATATCCGTTGATGATGCCAATAATCTGGACGAGTAAAATGCGTGATATGTACGTAGTAAGGCAATCTCAATATTATCTCACAAACGTCATATTTTTTTCAAAGCATTCCTAATTACGAACGCTATAGCTTAATTATTGTAAAGTTTATTTTTTAAAAAGGCGCATAAATTAGACGTATTATAGTACGGTAAAAAAGTAAAGCTTTCTTCGTGTTCATTAACGGACAAAGGTGGATACCGGAAAGATGCTGGTAACCATTTATTGAATAAAAAGTTCAGAAAATATTACGATAACACAGCCTATAGTAGTCCACATGAAGATAGGCCTCTCCTTAGAAAGGAGGTTTTGGCCTACTATGTCACGCTAGCCAGCCGGGTGGGCATAAGTTTTGTTTCAAGTTTTCTTTCTCTTTGCAGTACTGTTGTCCGGAATAGTTTGCTCCCTTACTCGGCTCTTACGACGGGAAATAAGACCCACGGGATGAATAACGGTGGTGACACTCCGTATACTTAATCCGTCACCACACAGCACACGGACAATACGAAAATGAATACTTGACTTTTTTTAGATTAATAACTTGATACATCTTGCACATAGTAGTCTGATTCCAAGCTAGGCTGAGTCTGTTCTATGATGTAGTACTATAATTTGCTAAAGAGATAGAAACAAACAGCAATTTACTGAAAAATTACAAATATTTATTGAAGCAGGATATAGCTGATATAGTCTGGCTCATTTAAGTATCTCAGTGTCTGTGTAAATTTGTGCAGAATGTAGTACCACTTTGATAAATGGCGATGCTTCTCTAATGAAACTGTGTTATTAATGTTATGACCTACGGCTGCTGCTGTAGCCTTCGAACTTAGTAATTGTTCCTTATAAGTTAGCTTGTATGCACATTTATTATTATGTGTCTTCGTGTGTGTGGTTGGTAGGTTGGTTAAGGTTTCTTAGTTTTTACTGTAGTTTTAATAAGTATAATTACTCAATTATTCTAAAGATATGAATATAATAGAAAAATTATATCTGTTCAGTGTGTATCAATTATGACATTCAAGGTAATACTGAAGAGTTGCTTCGGAATTTCTCTTGGCATAAGTAGATGCAAGGTCAGTTACACAGTACGTGAATACATATATAATTAAAAGATCGTAGTTTATTAACGACTGGTCACAGTAATACTGTAACGACATAGAGTAAAAAGAGATTACTATATGAACCTACCTATGAGAAGTTCCGGTTTTCTTTCCTCCCAAGGAACTCTGGGAATCCTGGACAACTTTGGAAATAACTGCTTTGGATCATAGCTAGTGACTATGCAAATATTCCAGAAAAGAAACATTTGCATCGACGTTTCTATCTATTACTTTTCTTTAATAAAAATAAAAAAACTTTGTAACTCTAATTTCAATTTCACTGTTGTATGAAAATTAATTAAGAAAAAAACTTGAAATTTCTATCCGTATCCTGCACATCACTAGTCACCAATGTCTACATCCTTACTGATTAAAAACCACTTCATACTCTAGGCAATGATTATCAATTCTATACTACACTTTTGCCTTAGGTTTACTCTAGTAAAATCTATTTTTCTATCTCTCGAGGAGAGTATTGAAATGAAGTTAAAATGAAATCAAACATGCCAAATGTCATCATTATTAGAGAAAATAGTACACATTTCCATCAATAATATTAGCATTAATTAGATACTTGTTTCATAACTAGCGACGTGTTAACAGTATTATATCTAAACAATAGAGAGTGCTTGTATTTGAGTACAAAATTCATTGCGTTTATTTTAAAATAGGTTAAATGCATTTATGTACCATACCACAAAATACATGCGGTTTAAATTAGGACATATTGAATTACGGTCAGGTTTCACAAATGAACGTGTTATTATCTACATACGAGTATTATTATTTTTAGCTACAGGCCTAAGTAAACCTGAAAATTGTATTAAATGCTTATCAAAGTTGCTAAGTTTTGATATACACACGCTAAAAACGGTAAGGTGAAACCGAATTATAATTGAGCTTAAGAAATAAATAAATAAATAAATAAATAAATAAATAAATAAGATACTTGTGCCTACGACGTATAGTATCTGTTTATACTTTTTATGTTTAGTAATATATGACATCACTATGT